CAGAACCAACGCGACGGTCTCACTAGAAATGGCCGGGCGTAACCGAATCGCGGAAAAATATCCGAAGAAATATTTATAGAGGAGAAGGTATTACATTTTTACAACGACTTTGTTGATAATCAATATTTTTGATTAAAAACTTAAAGATTACATTCGTTAAAATGCTGTACAATCGATTCTACTTTCGAATTATACAAAAGACAGGTTGCAAAATGATGTAGAGGAAAGAACAGAGAAATAAAATGTAAACAATATATCAAATAGATCTCCGATCTCCTCTATATATATCGGTGCGAAAACGTCCAAATTTAAAGAGAATGAGGAAATGTGTCCACTCAAATGCTAAGATATAAATATTTTCGAAATGAAAATGCGTTCTAGCGAACACCGGCTATTATGTATTAGCGTGATTGCGGGCTACCAAACAAATGATTTCATAAATAATCGCCTAGAATTCGTCACCTAATAGCGGAAATATTAAGGAATACCACTTTCTCCTCTATCTGTCTCCCTTTGGAGCAAAATTACATTTCAAAGCGGCCATTTTCGGGGCGCAATCATTAATGTAGGATATGAAATCATGTAAATTTCGAAGCAAAAGATACCCGATTAAATTACACGCGCCCTAAAATTGGCACACTACATTAACTTTAATTAGTTCTCCTCGTTATAATAACACTCGCGCGATATTCGCGTTTACTTCGAGGCGCACGTACGCCCCGATATTTATTCCACCTCATCCGGCGGGCCCGCTGTGTATCGAAAGTTCGATACATAACGCATTTATTAGCCCGCTATTCGGCGGGAAGGAAAACTTCATTCCACCTGCGTAATAAACGCTCGAACGGATGAGCGCAACTTCGGAGTTCACGGCGGGAAGCCTCAAAGGAAGTTTTCGCCGTCCTAAGTAACTCCTTCGTTCCGCGCCGAACAACAGGCATTATCGAAATTCCGTGTCCGGCCGGTTCCGCGACCGACGACGCGGAATTAAAGCGCATTAACGAGCGTCCTTGAACGACAATTAAGCGCAATTCGCCTCCGTCGGTGGAGACGGACGTGCGCACGTAGGGATCGCACTACGAACGCGATTTTCAGCGGTGGTGCGATAACGGCAAATTCGATTTGCAACTCGAATTCGAAACGTTGTTAGCCGCCGCCGCCGCCGCTGCTCATTGCGACGTAACTCGATTTGCCTTTCATCGTGTGTAACTGACGTATCGGGATCGTTGGTTCAAGTAGATTACTGCACGACGTATTAATTTACGTTCGATTAGTCTTGCCGACAAAGCGCGATTTTTTCGAGCCCCACCATCCTACCGGTGGGGTTCATGGAACGGTGATACCGCACAAAAACGCTTTGACCGATTTTCGACGCGAGAGCAGAGGCGACACTACGCCGGACGTCCAATTAATATCGCGAATTATATATATATGCGTGCGTTTGAGTCTACATAAAAAATTCATGCCGTTACGTTTCCGCCGGAGGACAAGAGTAGGAATACAAAAGGACAGAGAAATTTGCGACAACGAGTTGTGATTTCAACCTTTTCGACGAGAAGGGGGGGGGGGGAATAACGAACGTCCCGGGAGTAAAAAAAAAACTTTTCACGCAGTTCGGCCGGGTGAAAAATTAAAACACGCCGGGCGGCGATACCGGCGGCGAACGCAACGAGGGTCGTAAAGCGCTCGAGCGCAGGGGAAGCAAAAAAACGCGGACATACACATACACGAAAAAAAGCAGCGCTTTATTATCGTTACGCGAAAGTTCGGCCGCATTATCAGAAACAACCGTGACAAGTTGCGCCGCAGAGAGACGTCCGTATAAACGCGACAAACTCGATTCTCGCGGCTCGGCAAATTATCACCGGGCGCGCGAGCATGTCGATAGAAATTTCGGCGCGCAGAGAGGGAGAGAAAAAGTGCGCGGCACGTCTGTCACGCGAGGTCATAAATAATCGATGAACGAGATCGCGCACGACGCTCGAGATACTTCGATTCGGCACTTTTTCCCCGCGCGATTCCGTTCGTTCCGCCGCGAACCGCGCGACGCGAACTCGTTGACGCGCGAGCTCGGTTAATTGAATTAAAGCGCGGGATGGGGAGGGGAAGGTTGACGCCCCGTATTTTTTCGTCTACATCAACCGCGTAACAAGTTCAAACGCTACAATCCTCGCGTCCATTGGGAGTCACATCTGTCTGTAATAATATTTTTTATCCGCCGCGGTTCAGTGAAAGTGAGCTTTGCGAAAAAGAAGGACGTGGATCAAATTGATGAACTCAATTTCGCCCGGGAAAATTAACTAATATATAGCCTTGCTTTTTTTATGCCATCCTGTTTCGTTAATCAAACAGATTTCGAAAAATTACTTCCACGTTGTTGGCTTAAAACCCGTGTCACACTACGTACTGAAGATCCATTAGCTGGTCAACGATTCGCAATCCGCGTCCACGATAATGCGTAGCGTGACACGGGCTTAAAGATGTACTGTATTTTCAGTGGCGCATCAAGGAGACCATTCTTAATTTAGCGAAATTTATTAAGCGAAATTACGTTACTATACCAATTTACTTTACTACCTATTCTTACTTTTAGTTCGGAAGTTAAAGATAAAATTTAATAAACTATATTGATCTCAAGGAACGCTTATAAAAAGTGTCAATTTTAATTAACAAACATCTCAGCTCTCGAATAATCAATCTTTTTCTAATTGCACGAGCAACGAGTTACGCAATATTTCAATGTATACGCAGTGCAAATTTTATCGCATTCTTATCAACTCATTTCACTTTACAATCTCCTTTAAAGTGAAATAACTTTTGATCTGAATTACCGTCAAACTTTTGATGTCACTTTTAAATGGAACACAGATCAATTTGAAATTTTTTCATTATTTCGACCTGTAGGCAATACATTGTTAAATGCCGGGTTTTCGGTTCGCGGATTTTTCGGCCAGGTGATCTTGCATTTTCTAATTTTAATCGCGTAAACGTACTCTCGCGGACGAAGGTGGACCTAATGGACGGTGTATATAAGGATCATTATCGTCGTGTTATTAAGTTAGAGATCTTCAACGATATTCCGTGACGCAGTCAAGCTCGTTAAGTACCGAAATCAATGCTCCTTTGCATCCCGATTATAAACCGCCGCAAGTATACAATGTCGGAAATTACTACCGCGAGCAGCTAAGCACCGGAGAATGGCGGCCGGTTCCTCTGTAATTAGGCGAACATGAGAAGATTTGAATTGTAGACTCCGCTTCCGCTTATCAGGCGTGCCAGGGGCGGCGTGAGGCGATAGCAAATGCGGCGCTTATCAAATGCGATGACTAAGAGAGAATATCAAAGGTTCTCTTAGCGTTAATTCGATAACGTGATTAGTCAACATCTATCGACTATTTTGAACAAACCGACCGCTGAAGACAGCGTACTCGTATTTGTTCAATAACCTCTCTTCTTCTTTTTATCGCATTCCCTTCCGCGTATATCGAACAGTTCGTCAAAATTCTCGACAGCGGAATATACGAGGCGACGGCAAGTGACTTTTTTACCGCATCGCGCGTGAACGTAAAGATCCTTTTATTACAATGGTCGGCCATTAAATCAGTGGAAGTTCACAGACTCTCGCGGGGACCGGAAAAGTTTCGCGGCTAATGACGCGGTACTTTTAAAACGACCGGACTTAGCGCGCCCGTGAGGTATCGGTATAAAATTTAGCCGCTCGTATATTCCGCGGAAACTTTCGCGAACATAAATACCCGGGATGTGCCAAAGATAATCTCGAGGATAAGGGAAAAAGCCGCGCGGATGTCTGATAGTCGATTCATTAGCATTTCGGCTGCTCCCGCCGACTCCGTAAATCGCGGCCGCGATCAGGCCGTGGAAAGCTCCTTCAGAGGCGTTTCGAAAGCAAAAAGCCGCGAGCTAACTTTCGATCGTCAGTGGCGCGAGTTTTTATCTCAACTTCGCGAAGCGCGGACGATCGATCTGTGAGGAACTCGCGAATGAATTCGAAGGATTTTCCCGGACGAGCTGCTATTTGTACGTTCGACCGTACGAAAATCTCGCTTTTCAGCGGAAGTAGATTTAGCCGATCTCTCTTTCGCAAACTCGCGAAATGTTCCGACTTGTCTCTGTACTTGATGCATTGAGAGCGCACGTCGATATACTTCTTCCGATTCTCTCACCGAGAGAATGCCGCGTCGAAATTTTGCTTTTTTCATTAATCCTGCAAATACCGTCGAACTTGAAGGATCAATCTCGCGATTCTTACGCTACCGCCCTCCTCTGATACTGCAAATAGTCTCGTCGTTGTCTCCATGCTGAGGTTTGAAGAAATATTTATTAAATTATTATTATTTCATTATTTTTTAATATTCTAACAACATTTAATTTTTATTTATTTATTTTTACTTTCGATCAGCAGTGTATTAATTATGTGATTTACTTTGTTGAAAATATAATATGTACGATGAGCAAATATATTAAATAATTAATATAGATAATTAATAAAATTAATGGTCAACGTAGTAATAAAATTTCTTTGTATAAATATCAATAAAAATATGAATTAAATTCAGTAGAATAGCAAATATTGATCGAATAATGAATAACTTTTATGAGTAAACTCTTCTTTAAAAGTTCCAATAAAGTAACCATTTGTGATCGCATAAAGAAACAACAGCCTATATTACCATCCTCCGGTGGTTTTTTTTCAAATTCAGCAGAATTTTCAGGGTTAATGCGTAACTGAAATTCCGGCTTCGGTAACTCCTACTACGGTGCGCATTACACGGGTATCTCTGAAGAAAAACACGGGACGATCGTCCCGAATATTTACACGAGGAGCCGACTCTGTTTTAAAAGTAAAATCGTACCTCCGAATAGCGCAAGAAGGCGAAAGTACGGACCGAGTGACGGGCGGTATGCATGAGACGTACTTGGAAACAGGTTCTTGCGAAGAGAGAAAGAAATGGAGAAGAAAGTACGGGCGCAACACTTACCTGAAAGTCGAACTTGCTGAACTCCTGTTGGGCGTCGATGTCCGCGTTTCGCGGCACGATTATGGGACAGGTGGCGAGGGACACCTGAGCGTCCGGCGATTCGCTGTAATCCGGGGTGACGGAGGTCAGACTGCGGTCGTATCTGAGCTCCTCGTTCAGGATAGCCGAGGGATGGCCGCTCGACGGCGCCTGTACCTGACTGACGTAGTACAGGCACAGCAAGAGCGACAGGAGCACGATGCAGAGGACGAACACGCGGCCGGAGCCGCGGCGCAGTATCTTGTACATGGTTCGCTCGGTGTGATTCGATTCGATCGCGGCAGATCGTGATTCATCTAGAGCGGCGGCGAGTTCGCGTCGAGTCAGCAACGACGACGATCGACGATCGATCTTTGCTCCTGGCAGCGTGGTGCGTGGACTTCATGGGACGTCGTGGCGGAGGCACCAGCTGGAAGGGAAAAACGACGTGAAATTAGAACTCTCCTTCCCCTTCGACGGGAGAATAATTCTAATTGCCGGTAAAATATTGATATCGCGGCATTGCTAAAACGCGTATTAATGATTCCGCACGATCGCGCGCGTGTAATGCAATATGCAAATGAACGTGTAAATTCATGAGCTCACGGCAAATACACGCGCGGAACAAACTCCGCGACGGGGGTATAACGAGTCGAAATCGAATAGCAGCTACGATCGTAACTGATAATTAATTGTGATACACAGCGCGCCCTTTTGCCGTTGATCGATCGAAACATTTTAATCTGGCCGAGGGATGAGAACATAAGAGAGAATAGCGTTGAATTAATTAATTTCACAATGGATTCAATTATTTGGACACGGGAGCACGAACGATGTAATACCTTGTTTAGTAATCGCGCGGATTATCGGGCAAGAGAGTAATCTATTTTTATTCCGAGATTGAAAAGATCCTTTAAAGTTTATAGGAATTCGAGTATGAGATTGCTTGCTGGAGTTTAGAATAATAGAGGAAAAGGTAGTATTATGGTGCCGCATTTACATTTTGTACAATAACTTTGTCAACAATCGATATTTTATATTAAGAGTTGAACGATTACATCTCCCTGCGTTAAGTCTTCGAATGGAGAAAACAACGATAACTTCACTATTTGTAGCACCAAAGAAGCACAATAGAACGCCTCTAAACACATAATGTAGAATCAAATTAAACTAAAACTAAAATTTCGACTTGAGTTGTCAGAGCGTTCAATCGATTCTAGACTCAAAGTTATGAAATATTATTATTATACAGAGTGTACCACGCAACGTGATCAGCTTAATTTATTCCGTTTCTAGTTAGGACCAATTGAAAATTTATTTGTCCAGTATAATATAGTTCAAAGTGAATTTTAAGATCATCTTAAGATATCGATATTATTTTGATATAACAATATTTAGAGGTTACCATAGAGATTAACGTCCTTCGCATAATGATCGTCTCAATGTGTTATAATTTCCGTGAGCTTCTCTGAATTAAAGGTAAGAGCGTTAAGGCGCATTTAAGCGGCGAAGGGATTTTGATTATCTCGTCAGGCAACGGTGTTCATAATCTTTTGTAAATTTCAGCAAGATGATGTTATGCGTGTGATTCGGCAATGGAAAAGCAAACATGTTCGATAGATACGAGGTATTTAGAGAGAAAGAGATTAGAACGCGTTATACGCGCGAGAGGCGACCGGGGTGGACCGAATTTAAAGGATCGCCGTGTTCTCGCTGACGTGAACGCTCGCTGATGCCGTCCATACACACGCACGTAACGACCGTAGCGGCCCAGTTATCATATATTCAGAATGGTGAGATATACAAAATGACTCGTTGCGCGCTCGCTTTATATGGAGATCGTAATAACGCGCACACCTGGAATATTTCCACGCGAAATGTATCCTCACACTAGACCAGCCAAGGTCGGTCGAATCGATCAACAACCATCCGCTGACAATTTTCCCCACCACTTTTCCGCGATCACCGTCATTCGCGAACGAATAGTCGCGCTAAGGCAGCAAAGAAGAACGCTAACTCGGGCGCCGCAATTTAACGATCGTCCTCGACTGCTTTTCTTTCTTTGGGAGCAAGAATGATGTCTCAGATCATATTGAATCTCAAACGTTGTTACCAATACGTTACGTTTGATAATATATTGCGAAGATATTAAGAGGAATCTTGCATCTTCTCCCGTAGTAATAAGCGAATTAGCGATAATGCCAACTCTCCCAAATGTTGCGTCGAGTCGATCGACAGGTGTCACACGCATTCTCGATGACTGTCCCGACTGGTATCGGCAAGCGTTCGGCAAAATCGAGCGGTAAGAGCAACAGGAGAGAGAGAGAGAGAGAGAGAACGAGTGAGAGCGCATTCGCTGCGATTTAATTCGGTCGAGAGAAACTCAAGCCGGCGTTACCGTCGAAACCTTTCGTCGCGGCTCGCTAAAGCCTCTATCGCGATGTGTAAGGTCGCTTCTCACGCGATAATCGATCGTACAGCTCCGCGCTCGACACGGAGCGAAGGAAAGGGAGACAGAGCGAAGGGTTAGCTAAAAGGGAAGCGAGATTAGAGTTTAATTCGGTACTAACTTGACGCGTGCGAGACGGACGATGCGTGCGCACGGGAGGAAATGCCAACGACTTCGTTCGCAGCGCAGCGTGATAGGGGTTACCTCGCGCAAAGCTACGCGGAGAATTAATCCAGCCAACCGCGTCAACATTATCGAAGCGAACATGTGACGGAATACAGAAATAGGTGGAGTTCGTAGCAGACAGTAAGCGGCGGAAATTTGAGAATAAATCGATGCACGAATAATTAAGTCGGAGCGACGGCGTGGGCGGAATAAATCAGGGAAAAAACGGAAAACAATTTGTATTGTACGAATGGTCATTACGCGTGTTGCGCACGGTTATTATTCCCACTCGGGGAAACAACATCTCGCGCGAGAGATGTACGATTCTTCGCGGATAATTACGTTTACCGCCGTGTATTCCTTCTCTCTGGATCTTTCCCTTGGTACGACCCGTGATGAAAAAAACAAATAGCCGCGATAAACTTTTACGTTAAGCGCTTTCACGGGCCCCTTTATTTGGCAAAACGAGGGGGATATAAATGGCTACGTTAAAATGGAACGTGCCGCGCGGCGGCATACCGCGCGGAATATTTATAACAAATATGGCAGTCGCGGGATCGCCGATAAATCAATGAACTAAAATTAATTAGACATACCGTCGACTGATAAATTTTAAAACAGGCGCTAAATCTATCCGGCATGTACCATCCGGCGAATTAATGAACGTTCTAAATGTTTGCAGAACCACAAAGCGACGGGGGGATCGATCGGAGCGATTAATTTACACGCACGCACACATGGGAAATAATCTATATTACTATAAATCCAATTTTCGATAAACGTGTCACAATTAATACTATCAGAGTACTCGTTAATACACGAGTCGCGCGCTATTAACTTCCAAGTAGGAGTTTACGAACTCAAACAGGAGCGACGAATTTCCGAGTGTCTTCGTTTCACTTCCCCTTGTTGATGAACATCCAGAAATTTCGAATTGTCTGCGCGAAGCTCCTAATAAAAACGCAAGGAGATCGAGCGGGACACGAGAAGATGGCCGGATGCTCGTCAGGTGGCGGCCGGTCATTCAACCAACGCTTCGGTCCTTTTGTCCGTTCGCAACGAGGACGATGAAACGTGTCGTGGATGCGTTATCGCAACTCGTTCGATATGCTCGCGATCGAACGTCTGCCCGATGAGAGGTCGTAAAATCGAGTTTTAGTGCTTACGTTTTCCCTCCTTCTCAGGATTCTCTCGGCGTACAGATGGAATGAAAAAAAGACACGACGCGGATTGCGAGTAGTTAGATCGACCGAGAACCGTTGCTCCTTTTTTCAGATCCCTCGACCGTCCCCCGAAGAAAGAAGTCACAATCTCGGACAACAGCCGATCGACGAAACTCCCCCACTGCATACTGGCGATCCTAATTTGATTACCGAGCTTGAATCTGCGGGCGGTCGCTCGAAAATTCGCGCCGCCGCTGCGTCGACGGCTATCGACCCGAACTGAGTCGATACTATTGGTTTTCGGGCTGTTCCATCGCGGCGAACAAGAGTTTCGCGACGAACGGCTGCGGATTGCGACGTGGTGTCGATGTCGATGCGCGAATTTTCACGATCGGTGGGGTGAGTTACAGTTTCGCGGTGGTGCGAGTTACGATCGGGCATGGCGGAACGCTAATGGGCACGAATGCGAGCTTCGCGTGCTAAAAGACATAAATAATTACCTAAACGCTCCCGGGGTCTGTCCGAAAATGTATTCGGCAATAATGCGGAGTTTCGAAGATACTTCGCGGCAATAGTCATAATGATGATGACGATAATGATGATTATTGCGCGAAGCGCGGCAATTTACGAAGATTTCGACATGTGGGAGATCCCTCGTCACTCTTATGATTTAGCGGTATCATGACAGCTGTATTCGGAAACTATGTATATCGAATAATGATACAGAGTGCTCGGTTGTGCATCAAATTATGTCAGCATTTCACCCGTCAAGAGTATGCGTATTAAGTGTCCGTATCTCTGCTCTATACGGTTAAAAAAAAAAAAAAACAGCAACCATTTTAATCAACGAAACACCGAGGTGCTAACCAGTCAACGAAGAATTATTATTTTTGCGTTAACCTAAATAATATTTGCCGTGTAACTATATCAAATTTCTTCATACGAGCAAATCGTATTTTCGCATAAGATTATATATTCTTGCTTATACATGAGAATATGAGTCTTGAATTGACACTATTTAATTTCCCTCCGTGTGTGTACGCACTTTCCAACTATTCACTATCATTCGCGGTACATGGGGGAGAGAGTATGAAAGAACGGAGTTTCCCGTTCTCGCGCGAACATAATTGCAAAAAAAGAATGCTCGAGGTTCCGCTGGAACCGCGGCTTTTACAACCGCTGTGTATTCAACCACTCGAATAATCGGAGCGACGTTAAAAGTTTATCGCCGCACGTTCGAGTTAATCCACCGCGTTGTCATGACGCCGCAAAATGTTACCGTCGCACTCGATTAGGTCATTTCGCCGGAAGGTTTGCGACGACAAATTGAGAGAGAGGGAGAGAGAGATCTAAAGTCTGGCGACGCAAAGCGCGATATGTGCGCGCACGATAGTTGAAAAAGTTGTCGACCAAACGAGAGTCGTCGACGAGCTCGCGGACGAGAGAGGCGAACTCCTTCTCGCGTTCGAGGATATCACGGGGGTGGTACGTCGTCGAAGAAAGGGGCGCTTTTTACAGCGACGAAACTTTGGCTCTCCTCCGGCGGTGTAAAACCGATCTCTCGAATAGGCGCGAGTGCGCCAAAGTGCTCGCGACGAAAGAAACGTTTCCGCCCTCTCCTATCGTTCCTTCTCGCTTTCGTCGCGTGCAAAGCATTTCGCGTGTTTGGACGCGCTTTAAATTGGGCGCCCTTTAAAACGTGAGAATTATTCAACGCTCCTAGGCGTTACGCCTCCGCCGTTTGTTATCTCGCCTCTCGCGCGTGTTACGTGACTCGAGTTACGAGTGTGCACCGAGAAAAATGTCGCGCCGTCGACGGTACATTGTGATTATCCATAAGGTATTAACTCGTCTCGCGTTGATCTCCCGTGTGTTTCTGATACTTCATCCCCGATATCTTACGTATTGTCATTTACACCGTATTTTTCCCCCTCTCCCTCGTACGTTCTGTCGCAAACGTGCGCTGGATAATTCGCTTCTCACAGTGCCTGCCGTCCGGTCACCGAAGAAAAGTGAAGTAATAACGGCTTCTTGGCAGGAAAGGTGACCCATTTTGGACGAATTTTTTAGCAACTTGTCCAGAGAAAGTGATAAAAAGTGACTAGACGTCAGCGCTGTTCTCATCTCGCTCGTCTTCGTGTTTCTCCTCTGCACGGGAAGTTAATTCACATTTATTTTGCGAAAAATATAACTTTCAGAATCCTGTGCATTTCGCACGATCTTTTTATCTTTTTTTCATTAATACCGTGATCCGGCGATTCACGCCGGCGTGTCATATTTCCAAAAATCTCCTTTCGCTTCTGAATTTTGCCCGGCGAATGCGCGCCCGATGTAAATACGCAGTTAAAATCGAATGATTAGCGTTAAATGCGCGGCGCGATTTAAACAAAATTATTGCGCGCCGCGATTGCTCCCGCAGCTTGGCAATCAGCGGCGGACGTTCGTTGCAAATTGACGATAATCCGAACGACTGCAAAACATTCCTGTCGCTGCGACGGACATTCAAATTCGTTGCTCGCTCGCGCCTCGTAATGCCTCGAATCGCTGGCTTTCGCGAAGAATTTTTACTTCGTCTGCTACGCACGTAGACCAAATTCCGCAGGAATGCGTGTAATTTAACACACGCGCGCGCGCGCGCTATGTCGCGGTAACGTATCGCTTTGCAAATAAATATCACACGAGACAACTGTGTCGACGACGACTGTCGACGATTGCTGTTACATACGACAGCTGTTATGCGGCTTTTCCTCGTTGTTGGAAAGCCTGCGAGCCTGCACAATCGAACGCGTTAATGCTGCCGGTGTTGCGTTTTACACACTCGTGGTCAAATCTCTCTCTCTCTCTCTGGAATTTTCTGTCATGTAACCTTAGAACGATCGATTCTCCATAAACGTTTAAAGGCGAAATATAGGCATATTTGAAACAACGTTACCGTCCAACTCCTCTTGTGCTTTTTATTTATTTTTATCTTTGCTACTGCAATTTTTACTATTTTCTCCTTATGTTTGTCTGTTTAAAAGACCCCCTCTCTTTCTCTCTGATAATATTCGAGAGACGTGCGCTCTTTTTCCGCGTTTTACGCAGTTAAACAACAAGTGGGATACCGTACCTCGCCATCGATCACACCAAGTTGGCCCGTTGCGTGAATCTTTCGTTCCGACGGCGTGACAGCGGACGTCGGGCCGCGAAGAGAAATCACGGCGCGCCGAAACCGCCGCCGGTCGAACGAAACGGTTTTGATACGTTTCCGGCTCTACTCGTTCGCCGTGCCAGCGTGCTGCGAACAGCAGCGGTAACGTATGAGAGAACTTTTTCACTTCCCCCTCTTCTGCCGGGACGTCGTGTTTAGCGGGCGGCCAAGTCACTTTCTTCAAACACATCTCTGCGAAGCGTATACATCATGCAGCCTAGAGCGCAGTCTCGGATATCACCGCATTTTTGCGGGAAAATCCGCGAGATGTATGTATACTGATTCAGCGCGTCGGGCTGTTATCAAGGGATGTGAAAATGTCACGATGAAATTATTTCACGCCTTCGTCACGTCGTTCGTTTTAGACGCGGGCTATCTCTCTGAAAAAGTGATGACGAGCCTGTCGATATTTTTATGTATCGCACGTGCGACCGAATCAAGCTGGAAAAACAGCGACGATCTCAATACAAATTTCAATTGCGCGATCACACACTAAGATTCCAATATTACGTATGATATTATTGACACAATACCGATATTGACGCGACTGTTTTTCATTCGTCGCACAAAAGGTGAACCAAATCAATCTGATTATTGCCTTTCAGAAAGACAAAACTCGGAAGGAAGGATCGAATCTCTGCTGACTCGAATCGTCGAAGAAATAGAAGAGAAAGCTCGCTCCGCTATGACAAGAATAACCAGAATGATGATTGTACTTCACTTGGCGCAGAAAGGGAATCCACTCCGAATATCGCTGTTCGGAAAAACGAAGATAATTCCGACGAGGCTTGGAAAGGAGGATCGAGTCTCTGCTGACTCGAATTGTCCAAGAAACGAGAGAAAAAGCTCGCTCCACTACGGCACGAATAATCGGAATAACGACAAGGTGGTGGAAAGTTACGTGGCTCGGGCGAAAGCTCCAGCTGTATCGCGAGTGTCAGCACGGCTTCTTGCTACAACGGATCCCAGGCTAGCCGCGCGATAAACGAGTTTCCCCGTCAAAAAGGTCGCTCCCGAAGGGATGATTTCCGCGACGCGACCGCAACCCGCCGGGGTTCGCCGTGCGGCCGGAGTGCACGATCGTCCTCCAACCGCAACCAAGAACCACGCCGTACTAAACTCGCGGCACGGGCGGAATGGTTTTGACACGCCGCCGGCTATATCCGCTTTTCCGCCGACGCGACAGTCGACGGGCGCATGTGCCGATATAATCCACGTTTGTGCCGGCGTACGTGCGCGTCCGTTCACACGTGCGCACACAACACGCAAATACAGGCGCAGAGCGACGAGGGGGTGAGAACACGCACTCGGGGAGGACTTTCCACGCCCGCGGGGTGTTTTGACTCGGCGGAAGAAGGAACGGGGGTCACCCCGAAGACGCCGGCGTACGGTCATTTTCGCGAGCTCTTCTTTCTCCCTCTCCCATCCTCTCCCCGCACCTCGTGGTATATTTTTTCTTCTTCCCCCCTCACCGGATTACCGACCGCGTCGCGATGACTTTTTCTCATTATTCTGGGCAAATTTACTCGCCGATTTACAAGACGAATTTCTTTTACGAGAAGGCCAGGTTCTTGTGTGCGTGTGTGTACAGAGAAAAAAATGCTAGATTCAAGTAAATAATTACTCTGATGCTACTTGGTGAATTTTTATTTAGATCAAGCAAATTTTACTTGGATCGAGTAAATATTACTGATCCAAGTAAAAATATATTTGCTAAGAAATATTGGAATAATTATTTACTTGAATTTTCCTTTCTTTGTATGTGTATCGCGTGTATGGTGTTATTATCGTAATATATTGAGTTGTTCGTAGGGATTTTTGCGAAGGGTTCAACATCGTTGCTTTTAGTTGGACATAACTTTACTCTAATAATGTATTGACCGTTTTTTTTCGGTGACCTGCCAACGGAAAGAAACGAAAAGAATTTAAAGCTGTGCCTAATTGTAAAAGAATCGGCTTTGATGTTTTTGTAAAAATATCTACAAGTTTATTAAACAACCCAATATATGTAAAGATACGTTGTGCGCGTGTGTACGGGCAATGTAACGGGACAACTTTTCTGGCATATTGTTAGAACGAAACTGACGATGCCGACAGTGAAATAGCGTGACGCCAGAACTATTACCTGACGGAAGCAGCTGCATGTTTAATACGCTTTAAAACAAATCGGGACGATCGCTCAAACTACTATGATTAGCATATCACTATTAATATTTACGCGCAGCATCGATTGAACGTACGTTTCTCGCCGTGAGAGCTGCATACGATACACATTGCAACTATAAATTATTAACCATAGGGGTAATTCCATAAGCTCAAACGGAATATCACAGTAAATCCCAGCTCGGACAATCCATATAAGATCTCGCATTTCGGATGACTGAAATATTAAGCAGCGATATTTCGCGCTAATACGCGCAGATCACATTTTTGCTCTTAATAATAAATATTTTTAACGAACAGACGTTCGTTCGTAAAGATTACTGCTGTGCAAAATGACAAGAATGGGAGGAGAAATGAATTCGCTGTGTAACAAGTGCACTTGATGAAATTTGATTGGCTACTTTTAGAGAGCTATGGAAGCAATTATTTACGGACTAATCAAATTGGCTTATGCATTCGAGATTTTTGGAGGAGTTCATTTGATGCTACATTCTTGATTTCCTTTTAATGATTTAGTGAGTTTCGCAAAATTAGATCTTGTAACGACTCTTATTGGCTTTTCTTATCTCGTGTCACTCGTATCAAAGATAGATGCGTTATCTATTATGAGACGACGATTCTCCCCACACGACGAAAGAATATAAGAACGGTCCGATCGATTTTAAGTTAGAAGTGTCGAATGCGCCCGCTACGGGAAGAGCCCCATGATCGAGCTCGGTGTTTCAGCGCTCGAGAGCTCAGGAACTTTTCAATTTCGTGGGACACGGGCGCGCGGGGCATTGTCGTTGGACAGGATTGGCACAGGCTCGAACTTGATCGAACGGCAATTACGTTGATTGAAAGGCCAACACGAGTGTCGCTTGCGTACCGGGAGAACCGAAGATCCCCGGTTGTTCATCGGGAACGAACACATCCCCGTTTGCCCCATCGGTCGAACTAGAAAACCGGTGAAAACACATTTCTCAAAACATTTACGTGCGACATTTCGAAATCTTGTTACTGGCTCGCTCAACGACTGCGCCATTCGACGAAATGACGAATGTGAATTTTTGGACAGGGGATTAGTTTCAAAAAATGAAGAAATCTTGATATAATTCAAGCTTATGTGTGAGAGGAATGAGCTCTTTCAAAGTTACACAGTAATAAATTTCGTGTTAAATTTAACACATTTCATATATTCCAAACGGTCCACTCAAATTTTTATGTTAATTTTACACAAGGTGAATATATGTTAAAAAGTGACACAAATATTATGCCAACAATTAATACAAAATTAATACATTAATCGATACTGAAATATAAAATGTGTTATTTTAATACTTACACATGTTGAATATCGACACTGCACAAAATACTTAGATAACAAACAAAATATATTAAATTAATACACGGGTATGTTAAAAATTTAACGTAACAATTGTAACAAGGACCGATTTTAACACAAGTACATTGTGGAGAGGTTTGCGCGATAAAATATAACCTTTGAGCTTTCCTAAATCTTTATCCGTTTAAGGATATTGCTTTTCGTAAAATCGTGATATATTCATCGAAAAATTTGAAAACTTATCACCTCAGAACGGTCGTATGATCGGAATTTGTAGAAAAGAATATAATAAAATAAGAAGAGGGAATGCTGTTGCCTTGGTTGCTTCGGAAATTGCATTTCCGGGTAATTGGATGTGGGGGAAGGGGTGAAGAGGGGGATGAGAGAGCGGATGTTTATGCGCAGAATTACATCGTCGCGGAATCCGTCGCTTCAAGGTGTTATTACTTAATTCGCGTTGGTGTTGTCTTCGGCATTTCCCGATCGCGTTGTCGTCGTAAATTATCGGGGAATACCGCGAGAGCGAATTGTTATCTTAGGATGTAACGAAGAACAGCCGGGCTGGGAAAGAATCTTTACGAGACGCTTTAGAATAACTGGGAATCCTTTCAAGAGCAGATGCTAAAGAATAATCTGAGAAAAATAGTGGTTGTTTTCGTAGCGAAGAAGTCCGACAATTAAGAAGTAATTCGAAATTGAGAATTAAAAGCTCGGACGTAAACTAACGTAAGCTTCAGAAGCGCAAACAGAATTTTATTCTCTATTTAATGTGGACTTTGATAGAAATTGAATTTAAGATATTACAATCAGAAGTTTCGTGTTGAAATTTAAAGATCCGCGGTGACCTCTTTCGCGCGAATGTTATCGCCGAGGGAAATTGACATTTTTTCTACGAAAAGTTCTACCAGGCAATATATACGTGCAAAAGTTTCAAATTACTCGCGATAATTCCCATCTTCTCTTTAATATAAATGCGCGCGGAACCGACACGGTAGCATAATTTCAAGCGTGAATTATGCACTATGCGAGAAAGGTCAAGTTCTCACGCCGGTAAATGTTGGAGAGAGCACGTTCGGATAACGAATGGAAGATATGTCGCGGCTTTAATTGATGGCAAATTCAGTGTTCCGGATCAGCTGTTATCTCGTAAAGAGATAGACGAGCGCCGTTCGCAAGAACGATCAGCTCATCGAGCTTCATCGGATCCGCGTATCGAAGTATGAAGCCGATCGCTCGGAGATCTCCCCGTTATCGGGCTTATCTTCTTCTTCACAGAGCCGTGGCGGGCGTCTTATCGAACGACTCTAAATTATGCGATCGCGTGCGCGAAAAAAAGTCAAGAGGAAGTATCTCCGTCTTCAAAGTCACAAAGAACACGGCGTAAGATATAAAATCAGCCGGTACAAATCCGCGATACTTCACCCCTTCTTCGCGCACTGATAAGAAATCCACGTTAATTTGATCGACTAAGAACGTAGACTTTCGTGTTCTGTTGCGTTTAACATACCACGTTCGAAATACAGTGAATTTATCAGCCTCTAAACGAGACAGCTCGCGGAAACGGATCTCTCTGAGACTGCTGCCAACCCACTTCGCAACCCTTCCTCTTGTTCCACCCTTCGGAACAGCGTACCGTGCGATATCGAGGGGGCTCTGATTCGGTTTTCGGTGGAGCGCGCGTTGACAGAGAGAAAGAGAAAGAGGGAGAAGGGCGGGCCGCGTATAATTCGTTTGAAGTTTCGGCGCTATTTGCGCCGGGACATTTTTTCGAAGCCCTTCCACGGCCTTTCAGAGCGTCGCGTCGCCAGCGACAGGGCTAATATCCGGCGTCTGACGCGAAAATCCCTCGTTCCCGTCGTCTGTCTTTCATTCTCGACGAAACGAAAAATCGGCTTTTACCGGACAAACTTTGACGACGATTGCGCGAGTGAACGTGACGAAGGGTGTTTCCACCATCGAGTGTGCGAGAGCATTGTATAAGTTTTAAGATACATACGGGGTGTCCCATTCTAATTGCCACGTGCATATAATTCGGAAAATACGGGAAAACGTCTCAGACAAAAGTTGTAAGATTTGGAGGGGGATACAAGTCGGTGACTTTAATTTCGTTGTACAGTCAATCATTGAAGGTCGTTTTAAGATCAACTTCCTTTTCTCTTATATAATTTTTTCTTACACAACTCCTTTGTTCATGCTGCGTAAAAAAATAGTAGGATAAAATCGCCGAAAAATGAGTACTTTTCGAGATTCGATTTTACTTTTCATTCTAATATTTTTCAGTATAGGATATAAAATATGTCATAAAGTATTTACTTTTCAATAAAATCATCTTAACACTTTCTACATAATAACATGAAAGAAATCGAGTACTGATATTAATCGTATATTAGTGCAACGATACATTCACAAAATGCAATTAATTTTTTTTTTAAGTTTCCCTAAGTTTGTTTATAGCAATCGGTTCCATCTGTCGTTCTATGTACAAATATATAATTTTCCTGGGGCAATTAAAATTGGACACCCTGTACATATACACCAATATTATATATTCCTCAGGAACGAGAACTTATTACGTTGCCCGTCAGTCCAACGCTCGTTGCGA